GGAAGGCTGAATTTAAATTTGCCGCGTCACCCGTTGGCGAGGAACACTAAACCAAAATTTTAGCCGCCTAGCTTTTGTGGTTCCCGAGTTGAAAGTGAGGGACAAAATGTGGGACACACACATACAAACACACACACACACAGACAACCTCGTGACAATATGCGCTTTCTAACGCTGTTACACAGCACAAAACGCATAAAAATTCGTTGGGATGGGCAAAGTTCTCTGCAATGCGAAAATTTAAGGCCTTCAGTGGTATTAAATTCGCTTCATGAACTGGCTGCTGTGTAACGAGGTGACTGTAGCTGAAGAACATTAGATCTGATAATTTCCTGCCTCTTTTCCGAGTCACCACACGGTAACTGTTTTGCGCTGTACCGTGGTCGAATTGCAGATGCTCGACGTCGCATCGTACCTTTTGGTTGATCCGTTGCTAACGCTTTTGTCCGATGTGATTGTCTCAAAAGTGAATGCAGATACGTTAGTACTCGCATACCACAGGGCAGGTAACTTGGAACTATGAAGCTTTTTCACAGAAAAAAGGCATTTGTGTTGTAAGTCAAGCAGTATTCCAAAATATTCTAGAATACCGTTACGTGCCACTGGCGCAAAAACTATGGAAGGCGATTGTTCGACAATATGACCGATTACTGCAGAACAATACGTTCCTCATGTTAGCTCAATTACTGTAGCCTAACTAATTGAAGAAAACGAAAAATAAAGATTGCACCGAAAGCACTGAGATCACCCGGATGTTCGGTGTAAGCGTTTCATGTGTACAAACTGGCCGCCTTTATGTCCGACCTTCTGATGCTAAGCTGCCACTGTAATCTGTTCGATTTATGTGCGTCAGCTCATCGGAGACCACTCGAGTCACCGTATACTTTTCTTGAGTGCTAGTCACTAGTACCCTACATAACCGGAAATAAAGCCTATAACTATAAGAAAAAAGTTTCGAGACGGTAAAAAATGATTGTTTCCAGTGACTCACTCTACTGAAATGCTTCATATTAATCACGTCTTGTTGAAGTGCAGAACAAAGAAAAAATAAGAAAATTTAGGCTGTCGGAGGGGGAAATACTGAGGTTATTGCGCGACAGACATTTGAATATCGACAGAAATGCAGAAAAGTTGATGGTACAGAAATGGATCGAGGTTTGAAGTCTTCCATTAGATGCCTATATGGTGAACAGTCGGAGAGGAGTAACGTATCGGAGACTGAGGACTCCGAAGGGAGATGACATTTTCGCTAAACCTTCAGATACACAATAACTGCTTCATATACATAATAATGATTTTCAGCCCTCCAGTTGTGCGTCGCGTAGGTCCAAAACTTTAAGTTTCCGTTGCATT